GAACCGCAGATGTTCTCTCTCTTCAAACTAGCCCACAGGACAAATGGGGGTGCAGGCCTGATAACCATTACAGAGGCTTCCCTGGGGTCCTGGTGGCCCTGAGCAGGGCTTCCTGCCAGCAGTGGCCTGGGGAGCCCTTGTGGAGGAGGACGGGGAATGGGAGTCCCCGGCTTGTGGCCCCTCTTCCCAGTTCAGCTCCTGGAAGAGATGGTAGGAAATGGAGAGGAAATGGGGGACTGACAAGGCAAGATGGAGAGGAAAGAGAAAGGAGGAGATGGGGACACAGGGCAGTGGAGAGAGAAGGGGGAGAGAGAGAAAGACTCAGAGATCGAGAATAAGAGAGCGTCTTCGAGGGGGGAGGAGATGAACAGTGCTTTCCAGGAAGAGGAAATGGTACTCCTGGAGGAAAGTCTGGCCTTGGAGTCTTTCCCACACAGCAGGTGGATCAGTGACTGACTTGGGGGCGGGGGGGCGGTGAGGTCCTGGCAGCATCTTGCGGGTCTCTTAGAGTGGGGAGCACATACATGGAGTCGGAACCTGGAGACCGATCCCCGTATCTGTGCCCAGTCAGAGATATGTCTCCGTCCCCACCCCTTTCCAGACTGAAGGGTGCTGCCCACAGGGACAAGACCCCCAGCAGGAGAGGCTCTGCGGCCTCCCAAGCTCTACGCTCAAGACTGTTGAGCCCAGCAAAGTGGAGGCAGGGAGGCCAAGGAGCCTGGGGTTGCAGCTGTGAACCTTGGAGGCTGGCCAGCTCCCCATCCCCCTCCCCTGGTCCCCAGGCAGAACCTCCCCCCACCCCTTCAGCAGCTCGTGGCTCCGGCTGAGCTGACGTCACCAGCAGCACATGTCAAGGGTGACTGCGCATCTGGTGGAAAGAGCAGGATGGACCCAAGTCCCGGGTGCTGTGCCGCCTTAGGCAAATCACTGCCCACCTCTGGGCTTTAGTTTCCTCAGAAAACAAAGGACGGGTAGGATACTTAAGGGCCCGATTACTCTGATCATCTAAGGCTTGATATCCTAACCCAGCTTGGACCCCTGACTTCTCTGGCTCCATTCACAGCGGAGCAGGCTCGTCTTCTGGAAGTGGGACCTGGGCCCAAGACCTGAGTTAGGGGCAGCTGGGGAACACTGTGCTCTGAATGAACTAGCCACTCCCTGCTTTAAAGTCATCCGTGGCTCCCCCAGCCCTCAGGGTGAAGGCCAAGTTCCCCAGCCAGCCGTGCATCACCCCTGTGCCTGATTCTCTGATGAGAACCACTGCTCCGTGCCTCTGTTGGACCTGTGAATTAATTGTTCCCTTAATCGTCTGTGATGTGTTACCCTCTGTACCTTTACACGTGTTGTTCCTTTGGTCTGGACACACTTCCCCTCTTTCTCCCTTGGCTAAGTCGGCTCTAGCACCACCTCCTCCAAAAAGCCTTCCTGGATGCCATTCCCACTCCCTCCCAATGTGGATGAGGTCCCCTCCTCTGGCTCACAAAGCCCTGGGCGTCCGGTGTCCCAGCCTGATCATACTCCATTGTGTCTGTTTCCCTGTTAAGGGCAGAGACCCAGTCTGCCTTCTCATCTCTGTGACCCCGTGGGGAGTAGGAGAGCTTGCCTTACCCCGCCAAGAAGATATTTTTCAATGGACTGCAGTGGGATCAGGGCCTGCCCTCTTTACTCTCCTCATGGGCAGCCTTGAAGGTGGGTGTGAGCTCTCTGGCTCTACCCCTCGCTTCCTGTGTATCTGAGGCTGTGGTGGGGGTGCAGGAATGGGGGCAAGGAGAGAGGTTGGTCTCCACTATTGCGTAGACGTTTCTCAAGGTCCCACCGACCCAGATCTGTGGAGTGGCCACGTTTTCCCTACCCGCTGTAGCCCCCAGGCCCACAGTGGAGCCCACACCCTGAGTCACACATCCCCCGCCTCCACCAGTCCCCAGCAAGGGAAGGGACCCCCTCGCAACGCATGGGGTCCATTCCTTTTAGGACAGCTCCGCCCTGTGCCTCCCCACCGCCTCCACACCTTTATTCATAATGCTCCCCGTCTTCCTGAAATCTCCCCTCCCCAAGTCCTGCCCATTCTTGACGGCCCAGAAAAAGTCCTACCTCCAAAGCCAATGTCCACATAGCTCAGGGGTGGTGCCATAGGGTCCCCAGTCCCTCTACCACCCAAAGGGATATGGCCATGGGTCCTCCTCTGGCCCGCACCGCGTGGCCAGCCCCACATGGGAGCAGAATACCCCCCCACCCCAAGCCCCATTAATGCAGTGCTGATTTACTGGCAGTTTTCCCCCACGTACCCCGCCCCGGAGGAGGACTGTTTCTCAGGGACAAGTTTATTACGGGAAGCACACTAACCTCTTTCATAATATCTAAAGGCATACCAACTGCAAAAATATCGGGCTCTCAAGTGTGGCCAGCTTGGTGTGGGGCCTGGTTGGAGCCATGACTTTGCTGCCCGGTAGGAGCCCATGGCTTCCTCCTGGGCTGCCTCGCAGAAAGGCACGGGGCCCCGGAGAGGAGAGGGGGAAGCTGGAGGAGAGAGGAAGCTCTGTGTCTGGTTCCGTGGTGGTGCATCCAAGGCTGAGGTGGGGCTGAGCTGGAACGTGAGGCTGTTCTGGCCTGACTCACCGACCCCAGTCAGGAGAAGGTTGCGTGAGCTCAGGCTGGTGGCAGAGCCAGCCTGGGGAGGGGCCTGGAGGTGGCCGCCCCAGTTCCACTGCCTCCCAGACCACGGCCGAAACCACGGATTACTGCCTGCCGAGCCCTCCCCGGCTTCCCAAGACCAGGGAGCAGGCCAGAGCGCTCCCGAGGCTGCGGCTGCGGGACAGACCTCCACCCAACCACAGCGCCCCCTGGCTTCTGGTGCTGGCGGCTCATGCCGATCCCCGGAACTTGCGCGCCCAGAGGCTGCGGTGGCTCGGAGGATGCTGGGGAAGCTGGGAGGGAGGGGGCTGGAGGTGGGGGGAAGCACCCCAGCACAGACAAGGACACGGCGGCTTCCCCACCCTCAGGGCTGGGCTCCGTTGACCTAGGCACCCGACAGGTTCCTCTTCCGGAAGGCCTGCAGGGCCGGATTGTGCAGCAGCGTGTAGGCCAGCCCCCAGCGGGCCCTGCCTTGGCGGGCCCTGGGCCCTGTTCCCCTGGCCACGGGGTCCTTGGTCTGCAGCAGCTGCATCCCTGAGAGGGAGACTTTCTGTGAGTCACTCAGCAAACACCCAGCCACGCCCCCTAGCACCAGCCCGGAGCAGTCTGAAAATCCCATGTGCAGTGCTGGGGAGGCTGGGGGGCCTGGCGTTCCAGGGGCCTGCTCACTGAGCAGGAGGTGGGGAGAAGCGTGGGCTGCAGAGGGGTGTTTGTAAGGGCTCAGGATGTCATCTGCAGGTGGCAGACAGAAGACGGAGGGGACAGCTCTATGGAAGGGACTGGAGGAAGGGCTGGGACAGCCAGCCCAGTGCCCCCCTTCCTACTATGCACTTTCCAGGCAGGGAGGAAGGGGGGAGACATCTCATTCTGTGTGTGAGAAAGGGGTGTGTGTGCAAGCTTGTGGAATGGGGAGAGGGAGATAGGGTATGTTTGTATCGTGGGAAAAAATCACCCTGACAGGGGCCAGGAAACTTCTCACTTCCTTTCTCCCGCAGGCCTCGGAGGGAGAGAGGAAGTAAGCATTTTCCTGGCACTCCTATGTTGTACGTTGGACATGCATCCCATGTGGTGGGGAGGAGGTGTGTCTCGTCCCTTAGAGAAGGGGGTGGTCTCAATTCCCGCCATCTCCCGGGGGAAGGTGCACCTTCTTCTTCCTCCCCCTGTCTGAGGCCGTCCTGGGGGGCCCGGGGAGGCCGGGGCTGCTGGGTCTGCAAGAGCAGGGTGCAGAAGGCAGTCGTGGCCGGATGTGACTGGCTGGCCTCCATCTTCAGGAAGCTGCAGTATGTGTGGTAGCCTGGGAGGGGGGGAGGACGACAATGCTGGGGGGAGGAGGGCCCCCCTCCCACGCACCCTGCCCCTGAGCAGGTGGGACATGCACCGCACGTGGGCCCGCTGCCCACACTCGCCCCACGGGGTCACAGACAGGCTCCGGGACACAGTGCCACGTGGCCCAGGCCAGGACAGACCCTCCCTTGCTGCTTGCACGGCCCGAGCCACCGTTGCTCATGGCCCCCGCCCAGGGACCTTACCGGGGTCGAGAGTGGCTGCTCGGGGCGGCAGCAGGCTGAGATCCATCTGGCCAAGGTGGACGGCATTGTAGACGGCGGAGAGGAGCACGCGCCCGGCAGCCACCATGGTGCCCACCAGCACGTTGATGAGGAAGAGGAAGAAGGTGGCTGCGTAGAGCACTCGCCTGGGGGTGGGGAGAGAAAAGGCCGAGGCTGCCCACCCCCCCCACACACACACAGAGCCTTCCTCAGGGTCAGGGTCAGTCGTGGATGAGCACAGCTGCTGTGTGTTTATTGACTACCTACCATTTATCGAGTACACCTTCGAAGCACCGTGCCCTGTGCTGGGCCTGCTCTCTCAAGCCAGCTTGCCCCCCACCACCCTGGGAGCGGGTGTGGTACTCTCTTCTACAGAAGGGAAACTGAGCCCCAGAGAGATCGGGTGGCTTAGCTAAGGCTGTCTAGCTAGTCAGTGGCAGACCTGGGGCTTATGGCCTGGATCTTTCTGTCTCCCACCTCCCTCCTCTAGGTCTCTTGTCCACTGACTCTGAGTCCCTCCTGGCGCTGAGGTCCTCCCACAGCCTTTCCACCTAACATGGAAATAATGTTTCAATTAACCTCCTTCCTGCAAAGGGGGAGATACAGGGTTTTGGAGGACACAGAGGATCCAGGGGAGAGCAGTGCTGACCCCCAAAGCAGGAAAGGCTCGTGGCTCATATTTCTGATACTGTAACAGGTGAATAGAGAAGTATTCCCGAGTAGGCTGGGCCACTGTTCCCTTTCCGTTTGGGTAAGGCAAGCTCTCCTACTCCCCACTGGGCTTCCCGAGAGAGAGGAAAGGGAGAGATGGCAGTGGAGGGAGAAAGACACTACAAGAAAGACACCGAAGAAGAGGCTGAGCTCCTGGAGGTACCACAAGCCCAGGAGCCTCCTCACCGGTTGGTAAGCTGTGGGTGTCCATGGTGAGTCTCCAGGAAGACCCAGTGGGCTGCCATTTTCTGTAGGACCACAGCCAGGGCCAAGGTCAGCCAGAAGGGCCTGCAAGTGGGGTGGGGAGGAAGTCACTATTAGTAGCCCTCTGGGAAGTGGTCCCAGAGCCCTCAACTCTTTGCCTCTCTCACCATGAGGACTCCAAGGATCGGAGGAGCAGAAGGTTCCTGCCATGGAGCACAGGCATGAACACCAGGAAGGCAAGGATAACGGTCCCCAGGAAGAAGATGATCTGCTGCACCAGGAGCCCTGCAGGATGGGGAGGTGCAGGGGGATGGACATTAGGCTCTGCGGGACCCAGCCCACCCTGGCACTCCCAGGAACCCAAGGGCTTAGGAATGGCACAAGCCTGGATGCAGATCCCTGCTCTCCCACTGCCTAGCTGTGCCAACTGGAGCAAGTTCCTCTACCTCTCTGAACTCCTGTTCATCCTCTGTCAAATGGGGTAGTGGCCCCTACCTCAGAAGGCTTGTTGGGACGATCCAGTATAATGTCTGTGGCGACTCTTTGAAAACCACAAAGTGCTCTGCAAACGTTATTTTCCCCCAATTGCCCCTGAGTCCTTGGGGACAAGATTGCATTTTAAATTAATGTTTGCATTCCTACTGGCCAGAGACTGACACACAGTTGACCCCAGAAAGCCGTCTATTGAAACAAATGGCTAGGTGTTTACACGGCGTAATGCGTGTAAAAGGGCTTGGGAGGTATAAAATCTACCAAGATGAGGAATGACAACTTTTTGTACTAGTCATTCCTCTTCTCCTTTATCATTCTTCTCCTCCTCCCCCAGGGAGGTGAGAACTGAAGGAACCGTCAGGGAAGGGAATCTGGCCCTCACTTTTGCAACACTGAGCCCAGCCCCCTCACATTTCAGAGGGCTTTATTCACTGTACAGCCCCTGAGAAGAATCAGAAACTTGGAGGTAGGAGGGGTCCTGGAAATTAATCTAACCTAACTCTCTCAGGGCAGGACCCCCTTTGCAGCCCCAAGAGTGACCACAGAACCTTGCTTGCATATCCCCGGTGACGGGGATCTCATTATCTCCAAGGCAGCCCACTGCGGCATAACACTCTCTTATATAAGCAGGAATATGCCTCCTTGAAGTTCCCACCTTGCAGCCCTGGGTCCACCCTCTGTGTAAATGGGTAGTGGCCCTGAGGGGCTATCCTCACGTGAGGGGTATCCTTTCCCCAGGGGCTTCTGCATCTGCCCCCCCTCCCCGAACCTGAGCGAGCCTCCTGGAGGCAGAGAAGGCAAGGTGGGTCCCTCTTCTTACTCTCACCCCGGAGTTCGCCCCAGCACAGGCAGACACCCAGGGGCAGCCCAGACCTGCTGAGTGCTCTCCCCTTCCCAACTGGGGCCAGTTTCTGGGGCCAGCTGAAGCCAGGTGGGGTGGCAAGGGGGGCTCACCAAGGCAGGTAAAAGCTGTCTGGTAGGCGCTGAAGCTCATCCAACAGAATATGGCCTCGCGGGAGGGGTGGGGACTCTGGGGCAGGGGGCCCAGGTCCAGGGCGGCCCCTCGGTGCAGAGCTTGCAGATTGGCCCTGGTTGGGGGAGGGGAGGGCAGAGGGGGAGAGGAAGGCAGGGATCTCAGGGACCACACACACTCCCTAGATTCCTCCTCTGGTGGAACTCCCTGTCTACTTACAACCTGTGGCCACGGACAGGAAAGCCAAGGGCTGTGGGAGCCCTGCAGAGGTTACTAACCCAGGCTGGGAGGTCAGGTAGGGCTTCCTGGAGGAGGTGGTATCTGAGTAGAGTCTTAAGGGATGAATAAGAGTAAGTGTCAGAGCAAGGTAAGGGGCAAGGCCCGATCAAGGGAGACAAGTTCAGGCAGAAGGCTCAAACCTGAGCCAAGTCAGAAAAGTGAGGAAACAACAGTAGGGATGGAAAGTGACTCGCAGATCAGCCACCAGGGCAGGAGGCAAGGTTCCAGGCAGGCAGAGGCCTGAGGGCCTGAGTGCCAGCCAAAGTAGAGCCAACCCTGTGGGAAGAGATCCCTGCACAAAAACCCTGAGGCCTGGCAAATGCACTCTCTGACATTGCTCCCCTTCCCACGCGCCCTGCTCACAACTAGAACCTTCTTTCCCTCTCCACTCACAACTCAGCTCCATATCACTCCCCGTGAAAGGGCAAGCGAGACAGTTTGGCATTCAGTGGCCCATCACAACCTCTTCAGTGTCCCAGCGCCAGCCGGGTCACCTCCACACCCACCCTGGCGTGTGGCAACCTCACCCCTGCTGCTGCTTCTTACACAGTCCCTCCGGCCCTGGAGCGCCCTCTCCCTCCCTCAGCTCTTGCCTCTTCTTCCGATCCCAGGTGGAGGGCTGGCTTTCCAGGCTGCCTTCCCCATTGAATCAATCCGCCCAGCGGTCCCTTCTCAGAGGGCCAAGTCCACCCCCAGCCCTGCTCAGCTGAGCCCTGTATCACTCCCACCAGACAGGAAGGCCCCACCTTCCCCACCCACCATGGGGCAGCTGGGTGGGGGGGTTGGGAGGGGCGGGACACAGGGACAACCTGGGCCTGCAGTGGCTCTCCCTTCGTCCAGCCCCAGGCCCTGCCCTGCAGGCCTCCTGGCTCAGGGCTCCCGCACCTCTTCCCCACATCTGCACCGGGGGTCAGACCCTGCCACTGACCTGTGCGTCACCAGTGAGCGGATCAGCATGAGGGAGGTGAGTGAGCAGGACAGGACCAAGGCCGAGATGTAGCAAACTGGAGGGGCAGAGAGGGAGCAAAGTGGGAGGTGGGAGCCCCTGAACTGCCCCCAGGGGGGTGCCTGGGTGGGAATTAGCCCTGCCCCATACCCACCCTCTACCCTGAGCGGAGGCCCCTTGCCACCTCCCCCCCCACCTCATTCTCAGAGGCAGTACAACGCAACAATCTCAGCCCTCCCCTCCTGCCCAGTGACATGGTGGCCAGGACAGGGAGAGGCCAGCTCCGAGGCTGCAGACCTGGTCTCCACCCTTGTCTTGACGCTTCCATTGCTGTGTGATCCCCAGAGAGAGACACCATCCAACCTGGCAACTGCCTCCATCTCCTTGGCTTCCTGGCCGTATGGCCTTCAGGGGGCCCCTTGGTCTCCCAGCCTTGGCTTGCTCATGCCCGGCTGCCTAGCTCCCAGCATGACATGGGCCATAAAACCCCATGTCATGTGTGGGCCCACAGAGGGTGTGAGTCCATGTCAGTGCGGCCTGTGTCCTTCAGAAGGAGGGAGGTGACCACTGCTACCCATCTCCTCCGGCGGTGGCCCCTCCTGCCCAGCTCCTTGCCCCCCCGGCCCCGGCCATGCCCACACATAATGAGTTTGCTGCATCCTCAGCAACAGGGGAGAATGCACAGGGCGTTGCGAGCAGCCGAGGTATTGAGGCCTCCTAGGGATTTGAGGCTGCAGCTCTCCCGCCCTCCATCCACACCCCGCCTCGGTCTGCACCCCCGCAACAACCCCACCGAAGAGGCACTGGGCCAACCAGGAAGCCGAGGCTCAGCGAGAGAGCCTGACCCGCCAGTCACACTGCTGGCAAGTGATGGGCTGAGAGGCCTGCGACTGTTTCCAAGCAGACCCAGAATCAGCCCCGGGTGCCTGCCCCTGATCTCATCAGTCATCCAGGGGAAGGGTTGCTGGAGCCTGCGTCCCACCCAGAGCCTCGGGAGCGGGCGCAAACACACGGGGAGAGGCACGCACTCGTCCCACATAGCCTCGGGGCTGGAGAGGGGGGTCTCAGCACTGACAGCACAGAGGGGCCACCTGGAGCTGTGAAAACCCCTCATGGCCCAGGCGGCACCCCAGGCCAATTCAGTCAGAATTTCTGGGTGTGGGACCCAGTCCCTAGCTTTTGTAGTTTTGCGTGCAGCCTGGGTTGGGAACCGCTGCACTGGGAGCTTTCCAAAGACAGAGCCTTCATGATTCATTTCAATCAGCAATTGATTGAAATCAACCAACCCACCGGCAGGTATCAAGTGCCTGCTACAGCGGTTCTCAAAGTTAGGCTTGAATGGGAATCCCCAGGCGGGCTTGTTGGATCGTAAAGGCGGGGCCCCACCCTCAAGCGCTTCTGGAGTCCAGCAAGAGGCTTGAGCCTCGGGATTTTAAAGAAGTTACCAGGCGATTCTCAGCCGCAGCCAGGGTCGAGAACAATGCTACAGAAGAGAGCACTGGGCATGTGCAGCTCTGCTCGGCCCCTCTTGCCCTTCGGCAGCGAGCTCAGCACCAGCAGGAGGGCGTTCTGGACATTTCCTGCCAGGTGAGGGGTCTGCCTGCTGAGTCTGCACATGTGAGTGAACAGGTTAACACAGGGTGAAGGGTGAGCAAGCCCCCCTGGCGCCAGGCCTGGCTTTTGATCTTCATCCATCTACCTCCTGCTCTTCTCTCCCTCAACTGGTTCCAAACTTGGATCTCTCCAAACCCCAGTACCCATAAAATCTTCCTGCTCTTTGCTTCCTCTGGGACCCTGCTTGGTAGATATCCAAGGGATGGAGGGCCTCAGGGACAAGGCTGCCCTTGTAGCTTTGACACCTTTTGCAGTAGGGAAGTTGAAGCCCAGAGAAGTGAAGTGGCATGCCCAAGGTCACATAGCTTATAAGTGATGGAGCGGGAGTTCTAATCTAGTCTGCCTGACTCAGAGGCTGAGCCCTCTGTGAGCGATGCCAGGCTTATGGTCCAGGTGCCCAGTGGGCAGCCTAAAACAGCTCTCGGTGTTCAGAAGACATCAGCTCCTTAAGCTAAGGAGACATCAAAGGGCCCCTGGGCCCAGATATAATCTCAGTTCCGACCCTGGCTTGCTGAGTGGCTTTGGGCATAGCTCTAATCCTCCTGGGCCTCAGTTTTCCTCATCTGTGGACTAGGAGGGTAAACACTGCCCGCTCTGTTTGGTGCCTGAATCCAAGAAGATCCAAAGTGGAGGCCTTGAGGCTTGGAAACTGCAGCATGCGATGTTAAATGTCGGTGTAGGGGGTAGAAGCAAAGCCCACCATCCCAGACAGGTCACTTCCCGCTCTGAGCCTCATTTCCTGTGCCGCGGGTGAGGACTGATGACGCCGACCTAACAGGGCTGCTGTAAGCAGGGGGCCGACCCTGGGTGGAGGTGGGCCATGTGGGCCCCTGCCTGTGGTCCGGCTTTCGGCCAACTTAGAGAAATCTCCCGGGGACTCCAAGTCAGCAGATGCTGCAGGCCCCAGGATTCCTGACCACCAGGCCTTGTCTCAAGATGATGGAGAGAGCCCCAGCAAGGTGTCAGGAGACCGTGTTCCTCTCTTCACTCCACTCTGCCCAGCTGTACGACCGCAAGTGAATCCTTCCCTGCATGTCAGGTGTGGACACTTCTCAACCTCCTCCACAGGGGCCACTGGGAGGGCTTGGGAGGTGGTGTAGGTGGATGACCAGACTAAGGGCTGAAGGAGGCATCATACCCCAGAAGTGGAGGCTGGTATGGTTTCCTGGCCCGGGGGCTCATTGTCAAGGGAAGGAAGGAGAATGGAGATGGCTCAGGAGGACAGGGACTGGGGACAGGAAGCATCGCCCTGCCCAACCTCCCCCC